AAGAAGAAATAAGAAAATACATGGAAACAAATGAGAATGAGAATGAAAACACGGTCCAAAAATCTAAGGGATGCAGCAGAAGCAATCATAAAAGAAAAGTATATAGCAACACAGGCCTACCTCAAGAAGCAAGAAAAGTCTCAAAGGGGAGCAGAATATACCACCCTTAAAATCTTTCACTTTGGCATGTGAATTATTTTGAGTTGAAGGCAATCAAGATCCAGCAGACTCAGGAAATGTTTTTTCCCTCCCTCTCAACTGCCTGAAAGAAATGAGAAAGAAGGATTGGACCAGGAAGAGATCAGGGATGCATACAGTATAACCTTTTTATATTTGAGACTTATCTGCATGGGAGGGCAAATATTTGTTTACAAACATTTGCTCTTTTTACTTCCTAGTGAATTGCTTTCCTCCCCTTTGAAGCATCAGACCCTGTTTCTTTCCTTAGCTCAGGATGGTTTATGAGCCTCAGTTGCCTGGCTGCCTTTGGATCTCACATCTTTGTGGGGCTCCCTTAAGAAATGAACATTTTCTGCTCTTAATCTGTCTTTATTTCTGGGGGGCTTTTAGTTAAGAACCTGGAAAGATAGAGGGAAACTTATTTTTCCTCCCCTACAGTTTTATGGAATAAAAGACTATGGGAATAAGATATTCCACAATACTGACAGAGGCTATGAAAGAGTCTAGAGGAGAAATTAAGGGTCAGAAAAGTTGCTCACCGTCTTCCTACACACCTACAAACACTAATGGGTCAGTAGGAACTTCAAAGAAAACCTGGGAAGTCAGACACCTACAGCTGTAGAGTCAGACTGCGAAGGAGAAGGTGAAGTCTGGGGAAGGCTGTCTGCTCGTGGACTTTGTATCCCTTTTGGTCTGGTTTCTTTTCTGATTTTTGTGTATAGATTTTTTTTTTAATTTTAATTTTATTTTTTATAAACATATAATATATTTTTATCCCCAGGGGTACAGGTCTGTGAATCGCCAGGTTAACACACTTCACAGCGCTCACCATAGCACATACCCTCCCCAATGTCCATAACCCCACCCCCCCTTTCCCAACCCCCCTCCCCCCATTGACCCTCAGTTTGTTTTGTGAGATTGTTTCTTTTTTTTTTTTTTTAGTACCAATAAGGTAAGAAAACAAGTCATATGGCTTAGTATTTTTTTTAACAGATTAAAAAATAGACCTTTTGTTATTTCTGAAGGTGAACTTAGAGGATGAATCAATACAACAACAGATTTGTAAGAAGATAAGTAAGAACACTATTTTACAATAACATGTACCGAAACAAATTTAAGTACTGGAAACTATGAAAAATAGCTCTCTTTAAATGGTTGAACATTTGCTCTTCCTTATATACAGTTGAATTTCCAGTGGGAGAACAAGGATGCTCATGGCTCTCTGGGCCTTCCTTCATGAAAACCCTTCCTTAAAACCTTCTGGAGTGCTCCCTGAAGCCAGTGTATGGTTTAGCAGGAAATCGGGGCTGCTGTCAGTGCACACATGTATGCGTGTTATCCTGTCTTCTCAACTTCCCCACACATGGGGATCATTACTGGGGGTCAGGGGACCCCATAGTCAAACAAGGAAGTCCTCTGAAATAAAGCGTATTGATGAAGTTCCCTTCTGGAGATGGCTTAGAACCTTTGAAGTCTAATTTATTACTCTTATGTTTATAAAAATATTTAAAATATTGGTTTGAATAGGTAGTAAATATATATGGTACAAAATTAAACAAGTTCAAAGGGTCCAAACAGCAAAAAGTCTTCCCACCCCACACTCATTGTCTGATTTTCATTCCTGGAGGCAACCATTTTAGCAGTATCTTGTGTATCTATCTAGAGATACATTCTACATGTAGATATGTACGTGCCCATGAACAGAGTGGGTGGGTAGCATTGCACACACACTGTCTTCATTATTCGCAGTCCAAGTAATTCTAGGACTAGGTTCTATTCTAAATCAGTTGGCTCCATTCATTCAAAAGTTAAAAGTTAATTATTATGTGTATACTTTGTATATACTGTGTATATACTTTTGGTATGCATATTTTGCTTATCTACAGAATCTAAATAATTTCAGAAATCTTTATTGGATGTACCTAGTAATCCATTTGGCAAGTACCATTGTGTGAAAGATTTGCATTGATGTACAGGCATACCTCATATTACTGTGTTTTGCAAATACTGTTTTTTTGTTTTGGGTTTTTTGTTTGTTTGTTTTACACAAATTGAAAGTTTGTGGCAACCTGCATCAGTAGAGAAAATCTGTGCTGTTTTTCCAACAGCATTGGGTGTGTCTCGACGTCACATTTTGGTGATTCTCACACAATATTTCCAATTTTTTCACTATGTTTTGGTGAACAGTGATCAATGATCTTCGATGTTACTATTGTAATTGTTTTGAAGGCACCATGAACCATGCCCAAATAAGATGATGACCTTAATTGATCAATGTTGTGTCTGTTCTGACTGTTCCATCGATTTATCCTGTTCTCTCATCTCCCTCTCTGTAGGCCTCCCTGTTCCCTGAAATACAACAGCATTGAAATTAGGTCAATTAATAATCCCACTGTGGTCTTCCAAGTGACAGGAAGAGTCACATGCCTCACACGTTAAATCAAAAGCTAGAAATGATTAAGTTTAGTGAGGAAGGCATGGCAAGAGCCTGAGTAGGTCAAAAGCTAGGTCTCTTGCACCAGTTAGTCAAGTTGTGAATACAAAGGAGAAGTGCTTCTCCAGTGAACACATTAGTAAGAAAGTGAAATCATCTTTTGCTGATATGGAGAAAGTTTTGATTGGGATAGATCAAACCAGCTACAACATTTTCTTAATCTAAGCCTAATCCAGAATAAGGCCCTAACTTTCTTCCATTCTGTGAAGGCTGAGAGAAGTGAGGAACCTGGAGAAGAAAAGTTTGAAGTTAGCAGAGGTTAGTAACATGAGGTTAAAGGAAAGGAGCCATCTCCGTAGTATAAAAATGCAAGGTGTAGCAGGGGCACCTGGGTGGCTCAGTCGTTAAGCGTCTGCCTTCGGCTCAGGTCATGATCCCAGGATTCTGGGATCGAGCCCCGCATCAGGCTCCCGGCTTGGTGGGAAGCCTGCTTCTCCCTCTCTCACTCCCCCTGCTTGTGTTCCCTCTCTCGCTGTGTCTCTCTGTCAAATAAATAAATACAATATTAAAAAAAAAAATGCAAGGTGTAGCAGCAAATGCTGATTGGGAAGATGCAGCTAGTTATCCAGAAGGTCTAGGTAAGATAATGAAGGTGACTGCACTAAACAAGATCTTCAATATAGATGAAACAGGCTTCTGTTGGAGGACGAGGCTGTCTAGGACTTGTGCAGCTCGAGAGGAGACGTCAGTGGCTGGCTTGAGAGGACAGGCGGACTTTCTTGACGGGGTTAACACAGCTCTTGACTTTAAGTTAAAGCCGGTGCTCATTGACGGTTTGGAACTCCTAGGGCCCTTAAGGATTATGCTGAGTCTGCTGTGCTTTATGAATGGAACAACAAAGTCTGAATGACAGCATATCTGTTTACAGCATGGTTTACTGACAATTAAGTTTATTGTTGTAACCTCCTGCTCAGAAAAGAAGATGCCTTTCAAAATACTGCTAATTGTCAACGCACCTGGTCAGCCACGAGCTCTTGTGGAGTTGCCCACACAGCACCTGTTCTGCAGCCCTGGGTCAAGGAGCAATTCTGGTTTTCAAGCCTCAGTATTTAAGAAATATATTTCATAAGGCTTTAGCTGCTATAGAGAGTGATTTCTTTGATGGATCTAGGCAAAGTAAGTTGAAAACCTCCTGGAAAGGGTTCATCATTCCAGATGCCATTAAAAACATTCATGATTCATGGGAAGAGGTAAAAGTATCAACGTTCACAGGAGTTTGGAAGAAGTTGATCCAAACCTGAGGGGTCCAAGACTTTAGTGGGGGAAGCAACTGCAGATGCGCTGACTAGAGTCAGCAGTAGAACCTGAAGATGGGATTGAGTTGCTGGAAATTTCGTGATAAAACTTTAATGAATGAGAAATTGTTTCTTATGGATGAACAAAGAAAGGTGTTTCTTGAGATGGAATCTACTTGTGAAGATGCTGTGAAGATTGTTGGAATGACAACAAAGGATTTAGGCTCGTTACTTAAACCTGGTAGATAAAACAACGGCAGGGTTTGAGAGGATTGACTCTAATTTGGAAGTTCTACTGTGGGTACGATGTTAACAGATGCATTATGTGCTACAGAGAAATTATGAAAGCAAGTGTCAGTCAATGCAGTAAACTTGACTGTTGTCTCATTTTAAGAAATTACCACAGCCCCCGCCCAACCTTCAGCGCCTTCTGCCCTCAGCAGTCAGCAGCGATCAACACGAGGCAAGACTCTGCCAGCGAAAGGAGTCTGACTCACTCACTGGGGGTGCAGATGCCGGTTAGCATTTAGTAGCAATGAAGTACTTTTTTTTTCTTATCCCAGGGTCAGCGTTATTCAGTCATAAAGCAAGGTCAGCACAATCATCAGGCAGGTTTAGACTTCCGGAATTGATGCTGTTTTACCATGTATTTCACTGGGCTGCTTCGGTGTGGCCTCTTCTCCCCCTTTAGTTGTGGACTTTGTTCTGTCAGTCTTCAGGTGGGTTTCTGGGGTGTTTAGAATGACTTGATAGTTAGCCGGTTGTGTTTGTGGGACAAGATGAGCCTGGGGATCCTCCTCCTCCTTCACCATCTTCCTCTCAATAAGTTCCTTCTAAATTCAGATCTGTACATTGTTTTTTCAGACCTAGTGTTACTCCATACTTAATAGGCTACAATATCGCATAGAAGTAACAGTTACATGCATTTGGAAAACAAAGCTCATCTGACATTATTGCAATATTTCCTTTATTGTGATGGTCTGGAACTGAATCCAGAGTATCTCTGAGGTGTACCTGTATATGGTTTGATGTTGGCTTGTGACAAAACCCGAATGAATTTTGTCCTAAAGTTATTCTTTTTTTTTCCACAGAGAATGTCTAAGCACACGGATGCCGCAGAAGTACTTTTGGAAAGAAAAGGTTGTGCAGGAGTGATAACACTAAACAGACCAAAGTTCCTAAATGCACTGAATCTTAGTATGATCCGGCACATTTATCCACAGCTCAAGGTTTGTAATTGCCCTAAAGAAATTATATGGATCCTTTTAAAAGTGTATCTCAATAGAATATTTCTGGAATTCTCTTCCATAGAATGTCTGGGATCAGCACCTAAGCCCTGTTGATTTCTGGTCTTCCGGGCTTTCCCTGTGTGATTATCTCGGAGCCTCCCTAGTGACAGGGAGGCCTCCTGAGATATCCCCTTCCACTTTCACATAGCTCCAACTTTCTGACCTTTTAACCAGTGATACTGGTTTTCTTGGGACGTAAGTATAGAAATCAATTTCCTTACATGTGATGGCTTTTTTTTTTTTAAATATATGAGACAGGGAGAGTGAGAGAGAGCGCACATGCAGTGGGGAGAGGGAGAAGGAGAAGCCGACTCTCCGCTGAGCAGGAAGCCCGATGTGGGGCACCATCCTGGGACCCTGAGATCATGACCTGAGCCAAAGGGAGGCACTTAACTGACTGAGCCACCCAGGCGTCCTCCTCGTCCCCACGTGACAGCTTTTTGACAGCTGTTTTTAAACTGCTTGGGCAGCCTTAGAGGAGGCTATAACTCTTACTCTTCTAAGTGAACTGCGTGGTGTAGTGGAAAAGCATGACTCACAGCCCAACTACTTTGTTTAATACTTGGATTTCTTTTTATTAACTGTGTATCTTGGCATGTTAATCTCTCTGTCCTTCATTTTCCTCAGCTGTGAAAGGGGGATGATTACATCTCACATGATTGTTGTGGTGATACAGTGAAATAGTGTGCCTCACACGGTCAGCCGCAGAGACTAATTCTCCCCTGCTTACCGGTTTCTTAATTTTTCATTTGCTGAGTCTCTCTTCCTAACTGTGTGTCTGTTTGGGACACTGTATAATATGTCTTTAAATGTAATAAAGAGAAATGGGCCGAGACTTTCAGATTGGAATTAGACCAGTGTGGAGGAAAGTAGAAACTTCATGTTAGAATGCCATATTTCTGTTAACGTAGTCCAGTATTTTATTAGCCTTTCGCACAGCCACATCTGTTCAGCTACATCTCTTCCAAATGTGTTTCTATTTCTGTTCTCAAGAGTAGTATTTATAGAGTTCCTGTTAATTTTTCTCTCTCTGGTTAACCGGTTTTTTAGTCTATTGTTTGTCTTTTGAATTTCCATTGGCTCTTGACTCTTTCATCCTACTTGTTAGCTGTCCTTACCGACCAGATCACTTCAAGACTTGATCATAGCCGTGCTTCACTCGATTGCCTATAAATTAGTCAGTGGGACAGAGCCCTGTGTCACCGCAATAGAAAGGTTCTTGCTCTATTTTTTCACCAGATTTGTAAGCTTCTGTTACATTTTTAAGCTCATTATTTTTTTCATTTTCATCTCAAAGTTGTCATGGTAAAGATTTCAGATGCCATCATGTAATTTGGATCACAAAATGTATTCATCTAGTAACTTGTTGAAATAGTCTCTAATTTTGGGGCGCCCGGGTGGCTCAGGGGGTTAAGCCGCTGCCTTCGGCTCAGGTCATGATCTCAGGGTCCTGGGATCGAGCCCCGCATCGGGCTCTCTGCTCAGCGGGGAGCCTGCTTCCTCCTCTCTCTCTCTGCCTGCCTCTCTGCCTGTGATCTCTTTCTGTCAAATAAATAAAATCTTTAAAAGAAATAGTCTCTAATTTATGTCAGAATAGAAAATGAAGTTGGGATCCATTCTTTTGGATGCACTTTATAAAGCTTGTACTTTGTGTGTACTGATATATATCTATCTATATAGATGTCTATATGTACGCATATATATGCGAATAGATTTTTTTACAGTTTGTATTTATAATATGCTTTTACCGTCTTCTTTTATATTTGGCTAGAATTGGGAACAAGATCCTGAAACTTTCCTGATCATTATAAAAGGAACTGGTGGAAAGGCTTTCTGTGCTGGGGGTGATATCAGAGGTAAAAACTCCCCCCACCCAATCTCAGTGTTTTTTTTTCCCCCAATAGATTGACAGAACTAACAGGGCATTTTTGTAATACTTCGTAATTTGCTTTACATCTTAGAATTTTTTTTTTATTATAATGACTTAGCCATTGTAGTTAATATTAGAAAAATGAAAATAACATTTAAAAAAAAGACTACATATGTACCCTTCATATATCCAGTTTCTCCCTGAGTCATCCTAAACAAATGCCCAGTTATGCAGTGAGTCCACTTTTTATTTTAGGTTAGCTGGTTTTCAGCAATTCGGTTCGTCATATAACCTGACAGTCTGGCCATGTTGTGACTTGTCATTCTCCAGATAGGACGCTCCTTCACATGTTTCCCTAACCGTGCCCGTGCGCACCCTAGTGCACAATCCCAAAGCAAGGATGTACTTGATTATAGAATTCATCCTGTTGTTAATACATTTTTACAGCTGTTTAAGTAAACATGCTGAGATGGGATAAAATGATTAATTTTCCTTTCTAGTTCTTTAGGTCAGTCTGTATACATTTAACTATTAAAGGCCAAAGAGAGAAGAAATGTTTGGTCTCAGGGTCAAAGTCATGTACTTCTCACCACTGGTTTCAGTATTTTGTATGTACTGAAAACATTTAGTATTTTGTTTGTTAAGGAACTGGTAGAGTCCAGCAATGGTTTTTTTCTTTGGGTTTTTATTTTGTGTCTGTTTGTGTGTATGTGTGTGTATATCTGTATATCTACATGTATATACACATGTATATATAAATATAGTTTTTTTTTATATTGTGTTAATGGCAGTATGGTTTAGATTGATCTAGATACCAAATTTACAAGTTTACATAAATCATGATATTTGTGGGTTATTTTTTTAAGATTTACCTATTTATTTATTTGACAGAGAGAGAGAGAGAGAGAGAGAGAGAACACAAGCAGGGGAATAGGGAGACGGAGAAGCAGGCTTCCCTCCAAGCAGGGATCCCGATGCAGGGCTCGATCCCAGGACCCTGGGATCATAACCTGAGCTGAAGGCAGAGGCTTAACTGACTGAGCCACCCAGATGTCCCTACTGTTATATGTGGGATGGGAAGAAACAAGCTTGATTTCGGACATAATTTCAGATACCTATTAAATTTATGGTAATTGAATTTTAATTTTTAATTCCATCAATTTTTATTCTATTTTTAATTTTTCAATTGCTTAGATTTGTTAACTGAGTTGTGTTTGAGTTTGTTTTGCCCACTACATGAATATTTTTTTTTTTAGAGTTTCTTTTTTTTTTTTTTTTTAAGATTTTATTTGTTTATTTGACAGAGAGATCACAAGCAGGCAGAGAGGCAGGCAGAGAGAGAGGAGGAAGCAGGCTCCCCTAGAGAGCAGAGAGCCCGATGCGGGGCTCGATCCCAGGACTCTGAGATCATGACCTGAGCTGAAGGCAGCGGCTTAACCCACTGAGCCACCCAGGCGCCCCCATGAATATTTTTAAAATATTGTTTTCCAACATGGAGCTAACTCTTCTTCTGGAGTGGGGTCTGTGATCTTGTTAGTTTACAGATGGGCAGAGTCTTATGTATTGTTTTTAGCTTCTTCTAACTGAGCTGTTTTTCCATATAGGCCTAACTTTATATTGATGTTTGGAAGTACAGTTACAAAGTACAGATTTATTTTAGTTAAAATGTATAAAGCAGTGGTCTTCGGTTCCAGGAAATTTAGCTGCTTTTAAGATCATAGTCCAAGATGATAAATGGGCACTCGGAAAAATCTTTTTTTAATGTGATTATGAATGTCATTTAATTTTAACTTCTGTGGAATTAATTGATTAGAATAAAAGAGGAAATCAAAGATTTTTGAGGTAAAAGAGCTTCATTCCATTAGCAATATAATTTGCACTCTTGTCCTTTTAGAATTGCTGAATATGAAACGAGATGGGGGTTTGGGGATGTGCATGTATCAGTGAAAGCCCCAGAAGGACAAAAATAGACACTAGATCTTTCTTTTAAAAACCAGGAAAAGAAGTGAACATTTGGAACATTTTGAAGGAAGATATGTCAGACTTCTAAAATTAGTCTAAAAATCTGTAGTCAACAATTTTTATGTAACTTTAGCCCATAGAAGAAGAAATATATTTTATTTTAATTTGTATTGTAATCAATAATTCTCATAAAATTTAAAGACAGGAAGGCATATGAGCTTACAGTGTATGGAAGAGAATGGTTTGATAGTAGTCTTACCATTGACTGGAATAGGAATACAGTAGATGCTCAATAAATGTTTCATGGTGAAATGAACGTGGCAGAAATACTTAACTAGATGGATATATTATAGAACTATGAATGTATGTACACACATGCACACAAATACTTATATTTTTCTGTATGTATAATGTATTTTGTCTTAAGCCATATGACCATTGGAAATGTATATCCAGTAAATGTTTATTCAGGTGCTACAGAAAAGAGTCAAAATGAATTTTGTAGCAATATGTAAGTTCTAAATTAGGTATAACAATTTGTAGGAAGTCCTTAGGAACTTTTGCCTTGAAGTTTTGACATTAGGCGATGGCTCTAGGGCTAACTGTGTCTGTGGAATGGACACTTCAAAACTTTTAACAAACCATTCTAGAGTTTCCCCAGTACTTAATATCACAATATTTTAAATTTATTCTCTTTGACTGTATTAACTAGAAAGCACTTTTTTTTAAAAAAAGATTTTATTTTTAAGTAATCTCTATACCCACCATGGAGCTTGAACTCACAACCCTGAGATCAAGAGTCAGGATGCTCTACCAACTGAGCCAGCCAGCCGCCCCACTAGAAAGCACTTTTAAAAAAATTTGTAATCCGGGGCGCCTGGGTGGCTCAGTGGGTTAAAGCCTCTGCCTTCGGCTCGGGTCATGATCCCTGTGTCCTGGGATCGAGCCCCACATCGGGCTGTCTGCTCTGCGGGGAGCCTGCTTCCTCCTCTCTCTCTCTCTGCCTGCCTCTCTGCCTACTTGTGATCTCTGTCTGTCAAATAAATAAATAAAATCTTAAAAAAAAAAAAATTTGTAATCCTTCTTTTTTTTCCTTGCCTTCATTTTTTTTTTTTTTTCTTATAGTAATCTCCGAAGCTGGGAAGGCAAACCAGAAGATAGCTCAAGATTTCTTCAGAGAAGAATATACACTGAACAATGCCATTGGTACGTGTGCTCCACTGAGAGCTTTGAAAGTGGAATCAAGAAATAAGCCGCGCAGTATTAATTGTTAAAAATGTGTCAATAGACACTCTTATTTGCTTTTTTATATACTATGTCAGGCATAAATAAAGCTGATAATTTGGCTCATTCCCAGACAATTCACACTTCAATATTAGTAAGCTATATTTAATTACTCTTTGTCCTACAACCAGTATGAAAACATGGATTCTGATCGTATGACTGACTTTCTTGGAAAACAAAAACTTGGGTCTCTGTTTTCTATGTAAAATGAAATATCATTTCTTAATGAAAGGGTTTTCATAGTTGATGTTCCAGAGTTCACTGGAATTGAAGAGGTACTTTTATCAAACGTTTATCTCAAATGTTAAATTGCAGAGAAGAACATAATAGTTATGTACCCATCAGCCAGAATTAATAGACATTAATATTTTATTTTTGCTTGATGTTTTAAGATTTATTTGAAAAAAATATAATACTATAGGTTTTACGCTTCAGTCCACTTTGGTGCTTTCCTCAGTACCACTTTTTTTTTTCTCTCCCCAGAAGCAACCATTATCTCTCCCCAAGAAGTAATCATTGTCATTAATTTTTAGTGTATCCTACTAGACCATAGTTAGTATTTTTGTGACATACTTATGAACAAAATGCCATTACTCTGTTTTTGAAATTTATGTAAGTAACGTTTTATTGTATATACCACTCAAAGTTGTTTTCTTTCTTTTTTTTTAAGACTTATTTATTTGACAGAGAGAGAGAGCACAAGCAGGGGGAGTAGCAGGCAGAGGGAGAGGGGGAAGCAGGCTCCCCACTGAGCAGGGAGCCCGATGTGGGGCTCTGGGACTCGATCCCAGGACCCTGGGATCATGACCTGAGCTGAGGGCAGATGCTTAACCTATCAAGCCACCAGGTGCCCCTCAAACTTGTTTTTAATAACATGGAATGTAACTGTTCCATAGTATTCTGTATTATGAATATACCCGTCTGGGCTTATCTATATCTATACTAATTGATATTTTAGGTTTTTTCAAATTTTTACTAGTACAGATTGTTATGTATGTCCTGTTAGTGTCTATGTACAAAAGTTTCTCTATAAATAATAGAAGTAGAATGAATGGATCATAGTTGATATGTCTTCAGTTTTTTCCAGATTATTCTCTAAAGTAAAAGATTTTATTTTCTGCATGTCTTTCCATCATTTTTTCTGTTAAACTTTGTATGTCTGATATTGTGACTTTAATTTGCATTTCATTGAATATTGATAGGATAGAAGGTGTTTGTGTTAAGTAATCTTTTAGATTTTCTTCTCATCCTTTGTTCATCTTAATGTTGGATTGTTTGTGTTTTTCTTATGATGGTGTATGTCTTTATATATTCTGGATTCCTCACTTATGTAGATTGTATGTACTAGAAGAACACTTCTCTCTGCTACTTTAAGTTATCTTTTGGTATATACAGGTTTTTATTTGATGAGTTGAAATGTATCCATTGTTTTCCTGAATGATTTCTGCTTTTTTGCATTTGAAAAAATCTAATTAATAACGCAGGTTTTTAAGATGTTTCCATATTTCTTTTAATAGCTTCGGTATTTTGTTACTTTTAGTCTTTAACGTACTTGAAATTATTTTTTGCATGTGACATCATTTAACTTTTATTTTTCAACCAGAAAGCCAGAGGTTGTAATGCCTTTTATTATAAAGTTCATGCCTTTTTTACTGATCTTAGTGATACCTCTGTCGTACATCAAGTTCTTAAGATGTGACCTTGTCTGTTTCTGGGCTACTTTGTTCACTGGTCTGTACTTACGATGAAACTACAATGTCAGAATTACTACAACTTTGATATGTTTCTGTCTGGGAGTTTAAGTTGCCCTTGTTTTCTTTTAGAATTGTCTTGGCTGCTCTTGGGGTTTTGATCTTCTGAATGAGTTTTGGAATTCTTTTTTCTGGCTCCACAGAAGATTCCGTTGAAGTTTTGATTGGGATGACAATTATAAATTAATTTAGGGTGAATTGACATCTTTCACATTGAGTCTTCTCATCTATACATGCAGCATATCTCTTTATTTATGCAGACTTAAAAACTTACAGAATCATAATTTACATACCGGAAAACTCACCCATCTCAAATAATTCAGTAACTTTTAGTAAACTTGTGTGACTATCACCCTAAACAACTTTGGAACTTTTAACCAGATTTGAGTTTTTATGTCCTTTAATAATGTTTTGTAACTTTATCCATAAATAAGTTGCTGCCTGTTTTTTTTTTTTTTTTTAAGTTTTATTCTTAGGTAGCTTACTTTTTTTTTTATTAGTATATTTGATGGTAATTTTACTGTCACATTTTGTAATTTATTGTTTTTGGCATATTGAAGTGCTTTGGATTTTAAAGTTTTTTCTTACATCCTGCAACCCTGCTGAAATTTATTCTGATGATATTTCTGTAGATTCTCTTGGCTTTGCTACACAGGCAGTTATTCCATCTGTACGTATTTTTTTCACTTGTGTCTTTCCAGTCTTTATATTATGACTTTTCTTATATTTTGGCTGGGACCTCTATTGTAATGTTGAATGATTGTGTGTTGTCTTATTTCTGATGTCCATAGAAAAGTTTCAAACTTTCAATTTTTAGTATAATCTTTTTGTAGGCACTTTTTCACCAAGTTACAGATATTACCTCTATTACTAATTTGTTAAGGGTGATTTGTTTTTTATATTCAGTGGTAGTGGTGGTGCTTATGATCTGCTTGAACATCCACTTTCTTTGACTTTTTCTCTCCCTTTCTTGGAAGGAATTTATTGACTTCCTCGCTCAGCAGATAGTTTTTCTAGTTACGTTTTGTTAATCTGAAAGCTCTTTAGGATGAGCTTTTATGCAGGTAGTCCATTTCATAAGTTATGTGGGCCAGAATTTATTTCCGACTCAGAACATCACATTTGCTCACAATCACTGGCTGTAGCTTCACTCAGATATTGATTTTGAGTTTATTCTGGCGCTGGTGTTTTTTGTTTTTTGTTTTTTTAATTATTGTGTTATGTTAGTCACCATAAAATACATCATTAGTTTTTGATGCAGTGTTCCAAGAGTCATCGTTTATGTACAGCACCTAGTACTCCCAGTAATTCGTGCCCTTCTTAATACCCACCACCAGGCTCGCCCATCCCCCTATCCCTCTCCCCTCCAAAACCCCCAGATTGTTTCCTCAGAGTCCAGTCTCTCATGGTTCATCTCCCCCTCTGATTTGCTCGAATTCAGTTTTCCTCTCCTTCTCCTAATGTCCTCCATTTTATTCCTTATGCTCCACAAGTAAGTGAAACTGTATGATAACTGACTTTCTCTGCTTGACTTAATTCACTCAGCATTATCTCCTCCAGTCCCTTTTACATCCATGTTGATGTAAAAGTTGGGTATTCATTCTTTCTGATGGCTGAGTAATGTTCCATTGTATGTACGGACCACATCTTCTTTATCCATTCATCTGTTGAAGGGCATCTTGGCTCTTTCCATAGCTTGGCTATTGTGGACATTGCTGCTATGAATATTGGGGTGCATATGACCCTTCTTTTCACTACATCTGTATCTTTTGGGGTAAATACCCAGTAGTACACTTGCTGGGCCATAGGGTAGCCCTATTTGTAATTTTCTGAGGAATCTCCACACTGTTTTCCAAAGTGGCTGCATCAGTTTGCATTCCCACCAACAGTGTAAGAGGATTCCCCTTTTCTCCACATCTTCAACATTTGATGTTCCTGCCTTGTTAACCTTTGCCATTTTAACTGGTGTACAGTGGTATCTCATTGTGGTTTTGATTTGAATTTCCCTGATGAACATTTTTTCATGTGTCTGTTAGCCATCTGTATGTCTTCACTGGAGAAGCGTCTGTTCATGTCTTCTGCCCATTTTTGGATATGATTATCTGGTTTTTTGGTGTTGAGTTTGAGGAGTTCTTTATAGATCTTGGATATCAGCCCTTTGTCTGTGGTGTCATTTGCCAATAGCCTTCTTTCATTTTCCATGGGTTGCCTCTTTGTTTTGTTGACTGTTTCCTTTGCTGTGCAGAAGCTTTTTGTCTTGATGAAATATAAAAAGTTCTTTTTCGCTTTTGCTTCCTTTCCTTTGGAGATGTGTATTGGAAGAAGTTGCTGTGGCTGATGTTGAAGTCTGGCACTGGTGGATTTCCATTGTTTGGCTTTGAACTTGGATGTACATCACAATTTTTTTTTCATAGAATTACTATGTATTTGAAGTAGAGTGGGGAAAATAGGCTATTTCTTGGTTTAGCTCAGTGAGCCAGTTTGAATGAACTTCTCTCATTTCTTTAAGTCTGAAATTCTACATATCAGATTTACTTAGAGTGGCTTCTTCATGTGGCTAATGAGAACTTGAGTGGGACTAGTGTGAGCAAGAAACTGAATTTTAAATTTTACTTAATTGTCATTTTAATTTCAATAATTATATTTGGCTAGTAGCTACAATATTAGTACAGTTATATACTAAATAAAAGGAGATGGCAGAAAACTTCTAAGAAGTTTAAGGAGTTTGGTTAAATATTAATATACAGAGGGAAAGCCTTCAAGGTTTAATTTCTATACCTTATAATGATATATTTTGTTTAATAAGGAATGTGACGGATTCTGGCTTTATTCCCTGCATCAGTTAGCTTCTAATATTTTATATCTGAAATATATATATAGCTGAAATGGGGTGTGTGTATATATCTCTATCCCAATCAATAGAGAAATTTCTTTCTGTAGTTTTTAGGGAATTACAGTTTCCTAAGGAATTAAAGTTCAAGATTGAAGGGAATTATAATTCATGATTGAAGGCTATGGAAGTTGTGAACTTGCAGATTTGAAATTAGGATGAAACTCATTCCAGAATTAGGACTTGATGGTTTGGCAAACTAGAAATATTTACAGAACTGCTAGATGGATTGAAACTGCAGTTTTATCCTTCCACATTGCTTGGGAATATTACTCAGACATAAAAAAGAATGAGATCTTGCCATTTGTGACAACACGATGGATCTAGAGGATGTTATGCTAAGTGAAATGAGTCAGAGAAAGACAAATACCATATGATTTCACTTACATGTGGAATCTAAAAATGAATAAACAGCAGAAACAGACCTGTAAATACAGAGAACAAACTGATGATTGCTGGAGGGGAGGGGAGTGGAGGGGAAGTGAAGTGGGTGAAGAGGGGAGTGAGCAATACAGTCTTCGTGTTATGGCATGAATAAGTCACAGGAACAAAAGGCACTGCACAGGGGATATAGTCAGTACGATTATAATGGCGTTGCATGGTGACAGATGGTAGCTGCACTTGCGGGGAGCATAACATAATATATATAAACTTGTGGAATTGCTCTGTTGTACACCTAAAACTAACATTATGTGTCTACTATACTTAAATTAAAAAAAAAAAAAAAGTCTAAAACTGAAGCCAGAAAAACTGAATTTTTATATTGGTCTTCAGTAAGGAAGTAATATTGGCAACAAGCAGTAACAGAAGTTCAGTGATTTACATTTTTGTTATGTTATAAGCAACTTCCCCTCTCAGAGGAAAAAGAAAAAAGGGAAAGAACACAGTAAAACTTTACAGAATTTTTGAGCTGAAAGGCACTTCTGAGGCCATATATTAAATCTCATTATTTGATAGATGAGGAAACTTACTTATAAGTCATATGCATATATATGATATGCACATAAACATTAACTTGTGTGTGTATGAACGTGTATACACCTAATGCTAGTATATTTATTGAATTGCCAGTACGTGTGTGTGTGTGTGTGTATCTCATGCCAGTATACGTATTGAATATAGTGGATTTTCCAGTTAATGACAATGATGAGACTGGAATCTGTGTCTTCTAACTCCCAGTCCTTGCTTTTTACTGTATGTGGCACTTCTCTTTGTATTGAAAATAAATTATGTTCCTTAAAATACAACTGTGTATATAAATACCCATGGCTTAGAAGGTAAATCTTAATTATATTTTTCAATAGCTGAGCTATAAAAGGCTTTCATTTATTTTAGATTGAAGTGTTGAGTTGTTAAATGATAATAGTCAAGATTGTGTCGGGATTGACATTTTGAAAAGAACATATTTCTGAAGCCATATATGTAGCCTCTTTGGTATTTCTTTCAAAAATTTCCTAAAGACAATATTCAGAGTTCATGTAACATGAGATTTTTGGAAAACTGAATGTATTTTAAACATCATAATTAATTATAGCTCTGGGTTTTTTGTTTTTGTTTTTGTTTTTTTTTAAGGTTCTTGCCGGAAACCGTATGTTGCTCTTATTCATGGAATTACGATGGGTGGGGTAAGTAGACTGTCTTACTCTCCTCATTGATATGTGAGTTTACTAAAAATAAATTAATCATTACTGATCAGAAGTGAGGCCATGAATATAATACCATAGAACCCACTGAAACAAAATCCTGTTTGGATTTTGGATCTTTGCAGGTTTAGGATATAACATTTGCTTTTAACACTTTTAGATGATCGTCAACCAAAAGAATATGTTCTTAATTAAGTTATACACTACTTTCGCGTCTTGAATTAGCAAGCTTTTTTAACCAACAGAATGGATTGAATTTTCTGTTACGTTGTTACAGAGTCCTTTTTCTACTTTTAAGTAAATTGATGGTTTACTTATAAGCTTGCAACAGCTTCAGAAAAGAAACTGGAATGTTAGGGGATTTTTAGTCTGAATCTTGGGGATGTGTTTGCCTAACTTTTGTCTATTGCACAAAATCTTGCCTTAGTGAAAGTGTCTGGATACTTATGAAGTTCTCTGAAAAAACTGTATTTCTTATCAATTGACAAAGTATTTCTTTTATGTCTGTACAATTACAAAGAAGTCTTAACTGTTTCTGGCCTTGAATAACTTGATGTAGAGTTGGAAAAACATGAAATAATGACTGGAAAGGGGAAAATTGTATGATACTAGCTATACCAAAGACAAGCCTTTAAGGAAGTGAAAAGTCAGAATGGGTCTTCATGGCAGGAAAAGGTAGGATTTAGATAGGTAATAGGAGGCTGAAGGGAAGAATTTCAAAGATTCCATGTTCAAAGTTTCAGAGATTAGTCATTGGGAATATAAGAAGTCCCCCTCTTTTTCTGATAGAACCAAACTAGATAAAGCTTCTTGGGCACTGGGAGTTGCATAGATCTTGCATGTCATTATGGGAAAGGATTCCACTAGTAGGTGTGGTTAGAAAGCAGGATCGGGGGCAATGTGTACCTCTTGGCTTGTTAACTATACAGAACATGAGTGGATTGTGCTTTCTTTGTCAAGGAAATGTTACCATGAGGAAAAGACTGAAAAAAAAAAAAATCCCTGAAAAAATATTGCAGAATAGGAGGAAGGAAAAGAATTGAAATTTGAAGGAACAGCTGCCTTGTGAATGTGCAAGGAACCTGGAGAAAATGAAAATAAAAACAACATTGGGCATACTGAATAACAGTGAAAAGATACAGCTTTCATGAAATGGGAAAGACAGCCCATCAGGAGACGGTGAGCTCAGAGAAGAGGGCAAAAGGGAACATAAGGAAGTGTGAGGGGAGTAGCAAAACTGACATTCCCCTCGGCCAATAGATTAGAAGGTGAATTTAATATTCTAGATTATGAAGCTGTATCTGTGGAGGACAAACTTGAAAAGCACTAACTGTAAAAGGACAAGGATGAAAATGGTAAGAAGAAACATTTTGAGATAATGAATGCAGAAGAAGGATATTGGGAACCCAACAAAAGAATATTTCATGGAAAGTAAATTAAGCACTTGGAATAAAAATAATGACCTCATATAAAGATGACTTTCTTTAATTTAAAAACAAAAACAAAAAACTCTCAAACCTGCACTATATGTAATATATATAATTAAGGGAAACACACTCTTTCAGTGGGTTGAAAAGAGATCCACATTTAGATAAAAGCTTAGGTAAGTTTTTCTAAATTATAAGCTTTAAGGGAAAAAAACCTATAAGTGTTCAGGCCAGGGAGTAGGGGTGAAGGAGTAGTTAGTGAATACAAGTTATATACCAAGGAATGTAAATCAATTCTGGTTTCAGAGTTTGTTACACTAAGTGCCAGAAGTTAATGGATTGAGAAAGTTGTGAAATAAAGTCGTTAAGACTCAAGAGTTTCCTACCCAACCAAGTTGCCATTTAGTATAATTGTAAAAGAATATTTTCAGAAAGGAAAGGGCTTAGAAAATATGTTGCTGACATACCATTGTTGAAAATATTTCAGTCAATACTTGGTCTAGTTGACCAAAAGATCACTCAAATTTAATAGCGCAAGACTAATGTTGATATGAAAGGATTGGTGAACTGCCCTTTGTACTATCAATGAGCAGAAATTCCATTTTTCATAGGAGCCTGAGAAGAGTTATGGCTCTATTGTATTGCATCTGAGTGAATTGGCTGTGCTTTTTAGCCTCCATGGTATCTGTCAGTTGGTACAGTGGTTGCACACATTCCTATTTATGTTACAGTCAAGAATACTCCAGTTATTTCTAAAGAGAAGACTGTAGTAAAACAGATCAAGATAATGTCTTGAATAGAGGGAGTAAAGGTGATGCTGCTTCTTTCTAGTGGTCTGTTTTCTCTATTTAATGAGTATGAATGACCTTCAAAATAAAAATGAAAAAAAAAAAAAAAGAAAATATACTTCATGTTAGCCTTAATGAGAATACCACCAGAGAATTTTTAGTGCCCTAAGGCAGTGATTTTCAAGGTGTTATTTTTGCACTAGCAGTATCAGTAACATTTAAGAGTTTGTTAGAAATACACATTCTGGGGCTTAGTCTGAGCTTTCTCCTAAGTAGCAATCTTTTATAAGGAACATCTTCACTTTGACCGGGGAGGCGGGGGTGCTCCGTGTGTGGGGTCTCAGATCAAGGTGTTCTAAACTGAGTTTGTCTTCTCCCTCCCCCTTCTGGGCCTGCTCCTCCTCTTCCATTCGCCCCTACTCAAATGGCCTGCCCAGGGTCCAAGTGGTCCCAGAGTCAGACTCTAAGGGTGGGGCCCAGTGGTCTGTTTTAACAAGCCGTCCAAGTGATTCTGGGTCATGCTAAGTGTGAAAACCATGGCACAAGGCATCCATTGTATGTCATGAATTAACTTCTCTCATATTTGTCCTGTGTTTCTAGAATGGTACCAGTTATGTACCATCCTTGGGAAAGTTGACAAAATAGTCAAGTCATGAGAAATCCCTTAATGAACACGGTTCTTTTATATTACATATTATCAGCCCCTTCCACCCTCCAAGAAACCCAACAACCCATATGTGTCTTTTCTCCCATCAACTCTGCCCACCAGCATGCTTTGCAAATACTCTATATGTAATTCATTCTTAGAGTGAAGTTCTAATCCATTTTGTGACCATCCTAAGTACTACTATGATTAGATGTGATTTCTTCCTCCATTGACTTCTGGATTCAATCTGTACTTCAGATTTGGCATTTATACTTTGTTATTATGAAATATGCCCAAATATGTTAGAAGGTCTATAAGGGCAAAGGCTGTCATTGTTCTCTCTTTTTTTTTTTTTATTTAAACCATCTCAACAACCAGGAATGTACAGTATTTATTTATTTATTAAAACAGTTCCACTTTAAGTAATGGACATCTTATGTATCCTTTGAAAATGTGAAGTTTACAGACTTGAAGTGAACCAGTTCTTTCTTTTTTTTTTCTTTGTAGTGGTGTTTTGAGTGTATCATGGTTTTAAAGGCTAACTTTTCACATCTCAGTTCAAACTGTGCTTAATCTAAGACTCTTAGTGAACTCTTCCTTTTGAAAATATAATGCTTTAGGGCCGTCTAGGTGGGTCAGTGGGTTAAGCTTCTCTGCGTTCAGCTCAGGTCATGATTTCAGGGTCCTGGGATCGAGCCCCGCATTGGGCTCTCTGCTCGGCAGGGAGCCTGCTTCACCCTTTGCCTGCCTCTCTGCCTGCTTGTGATCTCTCTCTCTCTGTCAAATAAATAAATAAAGTAAAAAAAAAAAAGAAAGAAAAGAAAATACAGTGCTTTAAATATTGGCTTTCAACCTTGGCTGCATTTTAGAATCCCTTGGGATACTTAAAAGTTCCTAGGGCCCAGGCTTTAGTCACTTCACAGAATTATTAAATCAGGTACTGGAATGGGACCCTGGTGTTTTGAGAACTCTTTGGTGATCCCAGTGTGTAGCTGAGGTTATGAACCGCTGATCTACTAGTGATTCTTAACCAGTGTGTGGGTCAGGATTATCTGTGGACCTTCAAAATCTCCTGGGACATTGTTTTTCACGGGTTAGCTGTATCAGAATCGCTTGGAGGGCTTGTTGAAATGCAGACTCCTCCCACCTTCATTCCAGTTTAGTCCCTTTGAAGTGTGGTCCAAGAATTTGCATTTCTAAAAAGTTCCCAGATGATGATGCTCCTGATAGTGGGGGTGACTCACTTTAGGAACCACTACCACAGGTGCTGAGAACATGTAGTGTGTTATTAAAAATCCTTTATTTTCAGAATTGTTAGTAGAATTTTAGTGTTATATAAAATTGTTTCATGTAAATATATCTTTAAATCCTAATACAGAAGTATAGAATAAGAGCAAATATGGCTTAAGGTGTACAAATGGTAATTGTTTATTCCTATCTTGGTACTGATCAATAAATTGTTTCTCGTAACGTAAGAAAGAATTTTGTTAAGGAAACTTGAACAGTCCAAAAGATGGCACCATAGAGCTTTTTTTTTTCTTTTTACTATAGAAAAAGTTTTTTCTATCAAGGACAATAATAGTTTTTATCATCTTTTGTTATCTGTCATGAAGAGTAAATAGCACAGTGCTTAGTAGATGGGATGGCTAGATTCCATTATGTTTCAGATTTGAACATTTACTCAATATTTTGGTCTTTGATAAAGTAAAAAAATGAATGTTTCTTTTTAAAATTTTCTTATTTTTATTTATTTTTAATTTTTATTAATTTTTATTTTTTTCCATAGCCCAGCTACCCTCTCCCTACCCCCCTAACCCCCCAGCAACCCTTAGTTTGTTTTGTGAGATGAAGAGTCTCTTACGGTTGGTCTCCCTCCCCATCCCAGCTTGTGCTGCTTCACTTGGTTGGTCACAGTTATTTAAGGTTATGTCATTCCAGTGTTTCTGCAAGAGATGAACAATTTTTTTGAATAAAAATGCAAAAGAATAGTTCATTCTGTTTTGTAGAAAGATTTTTAATTCCTTTGCCCTTTATTTTAAATATCTGAATTCATATTTTCTCAAGTTAATATATATAGAAAGACAAATGATTAAAAACCAGTATTACTGGTTTACTGGTTTA